CTAGGCCCAGGCAGATTCTGTAGGCTCAGAAAGGAGCATTAACTTGAACTTGCTAGAATTCACCATCCAGAAAAGCATAAATCTGGGTTCCAGACCCCAAGTCTGAGTCGTCTTTTCAGCCCCGACTCTTTTGGAGTCTCTGGGAAAGTACACACACACACACACACACACACACACACACACACACACACACACACACCCCCTTTTGAAATTCATCTCTTTTAAGTACTCATCATGAAGGGTAATTCCTGCCAGTACCAAGCATCTCACAAGCATGTCATTTCGTTTTATACCCATAATAACACAAAGAAATTGTAGCCACATCCTACACTTTATATAGAGAGAAAATAAGGCTCAGAGAGGTTAAGTAACTTGCCCAAGTTCACACAGCTAATAAGTAGCCAAACGGGGATTCCTAAGACCACACAGCCTGACTCCAGAGATAAGCTCTTTGCTGCTAGAAACACCGCCTTCTCATCTGGGGAGAGGGGAACGAGGGTGTCTGCATGGACATCCCAGATCTTGGGACCGGGTTCAGCCCAACTCCAACAAGGCATCGGATCTGATTCCTGGGAAGGCATTTCGAGACTCTCTGAGGAGGCTGAAGGCGGTTGTGTGAGACGGCGTGTTGGGGGGAGGGGTTCCCCAGGAGGAACCCCAGCAGGAGAAAGAAGAGCTGAGGTCACCGCGGTGTTCTTGGAAAGGAGTTCCCAGCGTTCCCGTGGGCGACTGGCTGCCTCGCTGTAAAAGCTTTGCGCCCTGGAATTGACCCCACGCGCACGCGCACGCGGGCTGGGCACTCGCCCCACCCCGGCCTTCGCTGATCTCCCCGCGCCCGCGCCCGCGTCCGCTGTGTTCTGAACTGTGCGTCTCACTGCTGTGTTGAACCGCGCGACCCAGTCTCCAAGTGGCTTCTTTCGGCCTCTGCCTGAAATCTCTTTCTGCAGGCTGGAAGCCTCCCAGTATATCATTTCTCAGGGCTTATCTCCCCCAAACCCCCAATCAATGTCTATCTCTGGGTCTCCACCACTCCCCTCCCGGCAAGATTATGTGTGAATGCCAGTGGCTCCCGGTCCAAAGTGGCAAAACCCCTTGTAGGAAAGTTGAAGGGTGGCCTTGAGGTGTATGTGTGCCTCTGTGAACTGGGGCTGTGTATTGGGATGCGTGTGTGTTGATTGTGGGTGTTGGGCGTGTGCTGTGTGGTTGAGTACGTGTGCTGGTTTGTGTGTACAGGGTGCGCAGCATGTGTTAGCTGTGTGTGGTTTGGCGTCTGTGTGGGTTGCATGAGTGTGCGTTGCATTGCATGTGTTTGGGAAGCGCAGTTTGGGTATGTGTATTTGTCGGCTGGGTGTGTATGGTTGGTGATGTGTGCTGGTTTTGTGTGTGTGTGTAGTGACTGCTGGTTGTAACGCGCTTTGCATGTGTCAGTTTTATGTGTGTTAGATGTATGTTAGTTGTGGTGTATGTTGGTGTATTGTGTATGAGTTGGTGATGTGTTGGTGTGCGTGCGCGCGCGCGCGCGCAGACTTTCTCCAGAGCGGAGGGAGCCAAGTCCAGCGTCCCGCACCGGCGCTGCAACCAGCAGGGGCTGTGGGTCCGCGGGGCCGCGGGAGGGCGCTGCGGAGGAGGCAGGCCGGTGGGATGAGAGGGTCGCCGTAGGCCTGGAGCGGCG